TTTCCCTACTGCTCCTGAAGAATAATTTTTCAAAACCTTGTTACTTTAAGGACTGTTTAAAAAAAGGAAATAAGTTATTAGTGTGTTTGCTACAATGTAGAAAAACTAGCATTCATTATAAATATGGCAATTCACTAAATCTACTTAGAATTGTCTGCGTGGCTTTATTTCAGGCTTGCCACAAAAAAAAGTATCTTAAAGTCCTTTTTGTTCTTGCTGAAAAATTTATTTTAAAGCCTGGAAAATTTTAAAACCAAAAGCTATTAAGCTAGTGTCCTGGTTTCAGCTTAGATAGAGTTAATTTTCTTCCTAGTAGCTGGTATAGTGCTGTGTTTTGGATTTAGGATGAGAATAATGTTGATAACACACTGATGTTTTAGTTGTTGCTGAGCAGTGCTTACACCAGTCAAGGACTTTTCAGCTTCTCATACTGCCCTGCCAGCGAGGAGGCTGGAGGTGCACAAGAAGCTGGGAGGGGACGCAATGAGGACAGCTGACCCGAACTGGCCAAAGGGCTATTCCATACCGTATGACGTCATGCTGAACAAAAAACTGGTGAGGTTGGCCAGGGGGGTGTGGCCACTGCTTGGGAACTGGCTGGGCATCGGTCAGAGGGTGATGAGCAATTGCATTGTGCATCACTTGTTTGTATATTCTTTTATCATTATTATTATTTTCCCTTTCTTTTCTGTCCTATTAAATTGTCTTTATCTCAACTCACGAGTTTCACCTTTTTTTCTGATTCTCTCCCCCATCCCACTGGGGGGAGTGAGTGAATGGCTGTGTGGTGTTTAGCTGCCTGCCAGGTTAAACCATGACAGCCAGTAAAAGAAATTATTTGCAGAAACACACATCATATTCTATGAATAGATGTAAAACCATGACATTTTTGTTTTGACATTTTAAAGTAGGATTAGAAATATTTGCAAAATATAAAAAACACAAAAGTAATTTTCAGAACTACTGTAATTTTAGAGTGTGGCATCTTGTAGATCCAGTAAAAAACTAACAATACACAAGAAACAAAAGTAACATGCTAAGAACTGTTTAACAAACAAAAGACTAAACCTGTAGAAATGGAAGGTCTTTCATTATAAGTGTTAAAGAATGAAGAAATCGGTGCTTTTGCAGATAAAAAAATTCGGAGCAAGCAATACATCAAAAAAAAGAAGAAAAACTGGAAAAGTTTATATCATATTTGATTATTAAAGACTGTTTGTAGTTAACTATTGCTCAAAGTATAACCTTTTCAGATTAATGATTTACACTTAAATTCATCGCAATTACAGGATATAATTAGATTGAGGAGTATGTTTGACTTCTGTGGCATCAACTTGCACTACTGCTCAAAAGCTGACAGACACCTTATGTACTTCTTGGATAACTCCCATTTTTGAAGACTGACTGACATGTTAAACAAACAGTAATATTCTGTGCCATAGTTAAAGTAATTCTAAAATCCTTTCTTATTCCAAGTTTCTTTCCTAAACACAAATTCAACAATATTGAAGACAAGCATTTTAATATCCAGATTTGCAGAATCCAAAGCTTGACATGGAATTACATGTATATCTTGTCCAGTGAAAAAGGGATTCCCACAAGTTATGCAAGTACCTTGCTCGGACTGATATGGGCATACACAGAACACCATTTTCTCACTTGAATCTGCTCAATTGAAGACCTAATGTTCATATTGCCAAAATGGCAGAATTCTTACCTACTTTAAAGGGACTAAGACTAAGCTTTAAATTCCATCACAAGTCCATTTCACTTCAATTTATTATTTTGTGCTGCAGTATTATTGTGACACTGAATATACTGCTATTTATTTCAGGTACTAGAAACATACTAGCAGACAGTAGTATGTAATATATACACTTCAGTTCTTCATCTAATTTAATTTGTGTTATATTCACTAGTGGGGTTCCAGCATAAGTGCACTAGAAATAAAATGCTTTCTGCAAGATAAACTTATAGAACTATAGATGTACCTGAATAACAATGACATGCACTGCTATAAGATAAAAATATCCAATACTAAGTAGCTACTCTAAGCAATTATTACATATAATACAAGGTATAATATACTAACCTAACTATACATTGCCATTTTTTAGCATTATAAGCAAGAAGCTATATACAGGATGCCACTGAAGGACAAACAGCATTATATAGCATGCATTTTCTGTGATTTTGTTTATTTTTTTTTTAGTTCAGATACTACACTGCTTCATTCTTACCTCAGATTTCTCCAATTTATTTTGTGCATCAATTTGAGTGACAATTTTGTTCATGTTGGTCTCCAAAGCCATTCCACCCATGACCATTTTGGCCAATATATTATGGACCTAAAAAAAGATCACAAGAAAATTAAAAAATGCAAAATGTTCTATACACATCTAGATGCTGATTCATCAGTCTAGAAACACATATATTGTGTAAATCAATTAAGGTTAACAATTTCTTTAAAAATACTTGAGTACAAAGCTCATAACTCAATGTTTTTTCTCCAGTATCTTCTTTGTTCATAGTCCTGTTACAATCTCATCAGCTACACCAATCAATGCAAGAAGAAACATTAGCATCCATCTTTCTTTTACTATATATTTTCTATCCAAGGACTATCAACAAGAGTTGTAATTAGCATCAATAGTAATAATACCTCTAAGGAGCAAGTTCTATGAGATTAAACAAATTGCTCACAAATAAATGTGTAAAAACAATTTAGGATTAGATCTATGAAGAGAGACACAGTGATGCTCAACCACCATGGATACCAAGACTAGGCTCAGAAGTAGAATTAACATACCTGAGCTGACAGCCTACACTGCAAACAGGAAGACTTCAACATCTAGGACTGTGATTCACAGCCTGGACTCAAACTGAAGGACTAAATAAGCCAATTGGGGATATAATTGAAATGGATATGTCTAAAATCCCTCTTCTCTGTAACCCTGATTTGGGGGTGTGAGCCCTGGTTCACAAATCTCTGCTTCAGAGACTGTATATGCATTTTGTCTAATGACTTTAAAAAAAAAATAAATAAAAGCATGCTTCCATATACTTTAAAGTAAAAACCCAGAGTTAATATGTAATGTATAATATTTCAATCCCATTATAATTCTGAAGACAAGAAACATTTTATTACTTTTCTGGGATTAAAATATTGTACAAACAATGTGCTACTTCAAAACATAATTCTGCTATTGTTTTGGATATTCTTGTCATATCCTTGTGGATCAAGGATAAAGTAAATCTCCAAATCAAACTGCTGTAAAACTGAGTTGCAAGTAGTCTATCAAAAAAAAATCTACCACACTTCCTGTTTTAGTGCCATACCTAAAAAACAATATTGAAAAGTTGCTTTCCTGATACATCATTAGCATATTTCAGTAGAAACATATAGTGAACCTGTTTAGAGAGGCTGAAAAACAGCTCTTTCCTCTCTACCTATTGCTGCTGAATAAAGCTTTAAGAGTGGCATATTTATGAAAAAGATCAAAAATCCTTACTAAGTCATTCTCTTTCTTCTGGAAAGTATGTACTCCTCATAACATAGCATAAAAAAAAGGTGGGGGCAAAGAATTAATTCTCCTGCTTTGTAATTCATGATGAATTTAAATGCTTTCTAGTATCACAATCAGAAAGCAAGATATGAACATAGCAATCTGACATTAATATGCTCTACACTGACAACCCAAGCTCACTGAAAGGAAACGTCACCAATATTTACTTCTTTTGACTGAAAAGTTATTTTTACTCATTGCATAGGGAAACAATTCATGGCTATACACAAATCAGAGTTGGGATATCCGTTGCACAAAATTAAGAAACCAAGGAGTGGCCAATAATGATAGGCTACCTGAAATATTAAAACCCAGCAACCTAGATAAATTGGCATTTGGCTACAAATTTGCAGAGAATGATTTCATAGATAACCTATGAAAGATACAATGCATTCAACAGAATCAACCGAAAAAAAAAAATTGATCCTTTCAGGAAATTTTCAATTTTACTCATATGGAAGGCTTGATAATATAAGCTGCTGATGCAAAAAGTTGACCTAAAATGTTATTGATGTAAAATCCAAAACAACAAATATGTTGGAAACCATTAAAAAAATTAATATCAGAACAGACATAAAAAATGGCATTAATTTTTTTCTCCTGAACCAAAAAGTTAACGATAAGCACTGTTATAGAAGAGATGGCATTTAGAAGACCACATCTCTACCACTGGTGGTGGTCATAAAGATGGCTATTTTTAAAGAGGTCTGGCTAAATATATTATGGATTCAGATTTTAAGTCAAACAACGTAACATTAGATCTGATAATTCCTTAGGGAAAAGATGGTACAAGTGACGTGTTTTTAACAGTAGACAGATTTTCTGCCTCACAATCTCAGTCATGCTCCATTCCAAGATCTTAAGCTTCTACACAGGCTTATGCAGTCTTCTTGCCTATTCCACATCTTTTAAGCTAAGTGGGCTTCTCTTCAGAAAATAAAACCGCTAGTTGTTATAATATGTATAGCCACTGAAAACAGGCCATAAAAACTATAAAGGTCTTCATAATACAGTATTTATCTGGTGATCAAATCTCCTCTGAGATGACTGAAGAGAACGACATCTGATTCCTTTTTTCCGTGTATTCGGTTTACGTGGCAAGGTTTTGGTCTGCTGGCAAAAGCTGAGCCAATCAGCGATGATAGTAGCACCTCTGTGATAACATATTTAAGAAAGGGTAAAAAATGCTGCACAACAGCAGCTGTGGGAGAAAGGAGTGAGAAAATGTGAGAGAAACAACTATGCAGACACCAAGGCCAGCAAAGAATGAGGGGGAGGAGGTGCTCCAGGAGCCGCAACAGATATTCCACTACAGACCATGGTGACTCAGGTTGTCCCCCTGCAGCCCATGGAGGACCATTCCACACTGGAGCAGGCTCCTGGCAGGAACTGCGGCCTGTGTAGAGGAGCCCACGCAAGACCAGGTTTTCTGGCAGGACCTGTGACCCCAGTTGATTTTGGTTTGTCAGTGATGGTACTTGGTAAGTGATCTCCTTGTCATTATCTTGACCCACGAGCTTTTAATCAGATTTTCTCCCCCCTGTCCTGTTGATGGAGGGAAAGTGATACAGCAGCTTGGTGAGCATCTGGCAGCCAGCCAAGGTCAACCCACCACACTCTGAAACAGATTCTAAGGAGCATTTTAAAAAAATGTAATTGAATAATGCCACTTTTGGTGTCTATTCCCCTCCCCCATAGGTAAAGGTAAGCAATTACAGTTCTGACAACCCCAATCATAACAAAGATTTTTTTTTCCTCTAAAGCACAACTGTCATTGTAAATTTGACATCTAGTCCTATTTGGGGCCCCCTAGTGCAAGAGAGATGTTGATAAACTCAAGCAAGTTCAACAGAAGGCCACTGACAATGATTTGAACTGGAGTACTTTCCCTGTGAGGAGATGCTGATATACTGGGACTGCTTCAGCCTGGAAAAGGGGCAACTCCAGGAGCACCTAACAGGGGTTATTGGGGAGACAAGCCGGGCTGTTTTTGGTGGTGCATGGTGGGAATGATGAAGGACAACAGGCATAAATTGAAACTAGAGAGGATGAGACTGGCTTAAGGAAACCTTTTCCCCAAGAGGACAGGCAAGCAGTGGCTCAGGCTGCCTGGGGGGCTGTGCAGGCTCCTTCCCTCCTCAGAGGGATTCAAGCCTCCAACTGGACAAAGCCTTGGAGCAACCTAGTCTGACCTCATGGCTGACCCTGCTGTGAGCATCAGGTTGGACCAGAGACCCCCCCCAGAAGTCTTTACTTGAGTTATCCTACAACTTTATGAAAAACATGCTACTTTACAGTGTGGAGAGAGTTTCACTGGTATAAACAAATGCTTCAGAGCCAGAAACTTGCTTTTTCCTTTACAGTCAGGAAATGCAAATTTCCAGAAAAAGGTGGATGCAGATAATTAAGGACAATTTAAATTTAATGCAGATGTCAGTAGCATTACTCGTACCAAAGTACAAAAAAACCTACTTCATTCTGCTTTACTGTAAAAGTAAGCTACAGTATCATTGATGAGGCACTGAAATTCACCATGTCACAGGCACTTGAGAAATTCCTCGTGTTACAGGGTTTTTTTGTTTGTTATGGGTTTTTGGGTTTTGTTTGTTGTTTGTTTTTTTTTCCACAGCTGGTAGAAGATATAGATATTGACTAATAGATGCCAGTAAGAGGCCCAGTTGAATAACATCAGCTTAGAACAGTAGTGGTGCAATTAGTTCTTAATAGAGATTGCAATATTTGAAAATTTGCATATAGAATGAGCATTACAGACTGACAAAAGAGCAGACATATAAATTTTTTCTAAAGTAGAAAAGAGGAAGTCTTAAGCAGTTGCATCACAGAATACTACATAACATTAAGGAAATACCTTTCTTAAACTTTTGAGCAATAAACAAATTATTTCATCATTCTAGCTGTTAGCATTTCAAAGGACTGCTTTATTATCATTATTGCTCTTATAAAGTACTTTAGTAAGTACACAGATCAAATCAAGTCACCATGAATTACTGCTGAGCAGACGTTTCAGTAGAACTGCTACTGTCAACATATCTATGATAAACTGGGACAATGGAGTCCCACAATTTAATTATGAATCATGAAAAAAAACCATCCTTTTCTTTGTTTCAAACTTATTTCTTGCAAATTTTATCTGATATCCCACTGTTCTTATTTCATGAGAAACACAATTGTTCATCATCTTCAGGCCCTTCAACACTTCTATCATATTTCTTCCTTCTCTACCTCCAAAGTCTTGAATATTTAACCTCCTCTTCCATGCAAGCTGTTCCATACCTTTGATCGTTTGCTACCTTTCTCTGTATTTTCCCCCTACTTCTACTATGCAGCATGTAGCACACAGTTGCAGCATGCAATATTTAAAAATGTGTATAAACCATGGATTGAAACAGTGGCTTAAAGAAAATTTTCCACCTTGCCCTATTTCTCTTCTAAAGGGATACTTTTCTAAATAGCAGAATAAAGATATTTTTAGCTTTTGACCTGAAATGAAAGGAAATCATGATTATGAGCAACAATATTATGTAAATACTGTAATCCATTTATACCTTTCCCTTAAATATACCATAAAAACAAAACAGTAGTATCAAAAGTTTGTCATGATGTGAACAGTAGCAAGACTAACATTTTGAATATTAACTATTTTTTCCTTTCTGTTTCATTGTAAAGACATTTTATATTATTTTTCTATTTTTCTAATTAAAAATGCCACTAATTATTTTCCTTAAGAAACATAAAATTCTCTGAATTAAAAAAAAGCATTA